GGCAGGCTGGTGTGGTGATTCCCGTCTTTAAAAAGGGGGACATGTGTTTCATTTACAGCGGGACCACCTTCCTCTTCTCCTGGTCTATTCAGAGATGCTGGAGGAGAGTTTGATCAATGGTCAAAGCTCAACAAGGTGAAAACTTGGTTAGTTGACTAAAAACTATTTTCTCCAAGATTTTATAAAGAAATGGAAGTTTTGAGATTGGCCTGAAGTTTGAACAAGCTGCAGGGTCAAGTCCGGGTTTTTTTAATTAATGGAGTTACCACTGCATGTTTTAAAACATCGGGGACCACACCTGTAGCCAAACTGCTGTTAATAATGGCAAGAACAGAGGGTCCAGTTGACGGTAGAACCTGTTTAAAAAATGCAGCAGGGATGGGATCAGCAGGGGAGCCTGAGGGTTTCATGTGACCAACGACCTCATTTAAAAATGAGAGTGAGATGGAGTCAAAGTGACTGAAAACTGCTGAGCAGGGGACAAGAACTGAAGGGTCGGCTGTGGAGTTGTGGAATTGATGACCTAATCGACTCAACCTTTTCAACAAAATGCCTGACAAACTTATTACAGGTGTTGACAGAAGCCTCAATGGTGGCAGACTGAGGCACGTTTAGAATGGTGTTAATGGTGCTGAAAAGAACGCAGGGGTTGTGACTGTTTGAGTTGATAATTTTTGAGAAATATTTGTTTTTCTCCTGTTTAACGGTGGTCTGATAGGCTTTCCAACATGTTTTTAACGTCTCAAAAGACACCTGAAGTATATCTTTTTTCCATCGACGTTCAGCCCTTCTGCACAAGCGTCTTGCCTCTCGTGTGGTCTCATTTACCCAAGGGTGGGGCGTGCGTTTTCGATTCCTGAGCTTTAACAGGGCGACTGAGTCCAGGATCTGTACACACGCCTCCTGATGCTGAGAAAGCAACTCCTTTGTAGTAAGACCCGCGGAGAGTTCAGAGTCTGAAATAGAATTACCAGCAAAGATGGAAGAGAAGAGTGTGGCGGTGGAAGGGTTAAAAATCCTCCAGGGCTTAGGTGTGGGGGGAGGTGCAGGTTCACAAATCAGTGAGGTGTTGAATAAAACCGGTTTGTGGTCGGAACAAACAGTGTCACCAATTTCTAAACCAGAAACAGACAAACCATGTGTTAAAACTAAGTCTAGAGTGTGGCCCTGCTGGTGAGTCGGACCAACAACACTCTGAACAAAGTTAAAGGACTGGATGAGGTCTAGAAAGTCCTGAGCTAATGGTTTATCAGGGCAGCACACGTGGATATTAAAGTCACCTAAAATCAAAACCCGATCACATTGGAGCAGAATACCAGTTAGAAAGTCAGATAGTTCGTTTAAAAACTGTTTATGGTATCCGGGTGGGTCTGTAAAAAATAGCACACAGAACTGGGTTGGAGCGGCCCAGCTCACAACAGAGCAGTTCAAAACTCGAATAATTAGCTGAACCATGGAGCTGCCTGCTGTGCAAATGTTTCTGAAAAACAGCCAATAATCCTCCACCACGACCAGTTGTCCTTGGAGCATTGAAAAAGGAACAATCCGGAGGTAGTAATTCCAGAAAAACACTGAACTCACCAGGGCAGATCCAAGTCTCAGTGATGAAAAGAAAGTCCAGTCGGTTGCAGCAGAAAAAGTCGTTCAAAATAAAAGTTTTATTAGCCAGTGATCTGGCATTTATCAGGGCCATCCTCGTAGAATCCACCACAGGAGGAGATGATTGCAGTGTCCAGTCCAGCGGCCTCAGATTTGCAGAGTTAGACGCGTGCCTCCGGCAGGAAACCCAGTGTGATGATGGGACCCCGACAGCGGGACCAGACAGCGCGCCACAGGATCTCTACAGCGCCAGGAGCTGAGGTGGAAACGCTCACCATCAGCTGGAGAGGATGTTTCAGAGGCAGCAAGCAGGGCTTTAAGTTTCACCAGCCGGCCAGCGTGTTTTCCACGGCGTCTGGAGCGACGTCTCCGGGGAGGCAGGTGCGCGGCTTGCTGCAGGTAAGCAGGCACGTCTGCCAGCAGCGGGGGGACGGGGGTGGGGGGGTGTCCAGAGTTACGCTCATAATGATCAAAATAAGCGACATTGGTGCCACAAAGTCGAAGATCCAAAAGTTGTTTTCGTTCATGCACCAGCAGAGCGTTGATGTCACAGATGAGAAATGAAAAAAAAACCACCAAAAATATGAACACCATCAGCAGAGGTGGATTGCAAGCCATGTACACAGGCGCCATCTTACCGGAACAAGCTAACACTAAACACTCGGCTTAGTTAGCCTGAACTATATCAAATGGTGCAGAATGGAAAAAAAAAATATTCCAGGCCTCCAATGTTTGGACCACCTCAACTGGCTCCTCTGGATGTGGAGGAGCAGTGGTTCTCTGAGTCTCTCCTGGATTAATGAACTTCTCACCCGATCTCTGAGTCCTACAGAAAAAAAACCTCCTTTCGACCTCCTGGACCCAGGATCTCTTTCTTTCAGTCTTTGGGAGCATCGGCGAGGGCAGGAACATAGACTGACTGGTGAACAGAGAGCTTTGCCTTACAGCTCAGCTCCCTCTTCACCACAACGGTGAATGGAAAATGGAATTTTTGAGATTTTTCAGTCAGGATTTAAACAACTGCACAGCACCGAGACAGCTTTAGTAAGGGTCTGTAATGACATTCTGCTAGCGGATGACTCTGGTCAGTCTGTGATCCTGGTACTCCTCGACCTTACCGCTGCATTTGACACTGTTGATCACAGCATCCTTATGTCACGGCTAGAACACTGGGTTGGGATTACAGGGGTGGCGCTAGAATGGTTCTGTTCGTATCTGGGTGACAGGAGTTTCTGTGTTAACTTTGACAATCATTTTTCTGCTTCTGTCCCTCTTTCCTGTGGGGTCCAACAAGACTCCATTCTTGGACCCCTTCTGTTCTCATTGTATCTGCTCCCCTTGGGGTCAATCCTGAGGAAACATGGTATTTTGTTTCACTGTTACGCCAATGATTCTCAGATCTATCTGCCTTTAAAACCAAACAGTTCCTGCTCCATCCACCCTTTGCTAAAATGTCTTGATGACATCAAGACTTGGATGGCTGCAAACTTCTTGAGTTTTAATGATCAGAAGACTGAGGTCATTGTGTTTAACCCGAGCTCTACCACTGTCACTGATCCTGTAAACCTGCACTCCCTTCAGCCTCATCTAAAGCAGTCGGTTACCAATCTCGGGGTAGTGTTAGACTCGGACTTTAAGTTTAATAAACAGATCAACTCTGTTCTACAAAAAAGCTTCTTTCAGCTAAGGCAAATAGCAAAGCTTAAGTCCGTTCTGTCCAGATCTGACCTTGAAAAACTAGTCCATGCATTTATTACAACCCGGCTGGACTACTGTAATTCACTTTATGTTGGGGTCAGTCAGGCTTCACTTTCACGTCTCCAGCTCGTACAAAATGCTGCAGCTCGGCTTTTAACAGGAACTCACAGGTTTGAGTACATTACTCCGGTTCTGTCCTCCCTTCACTGGCTTCCTGTACATGTCAGAGTTGATTTTAAAATTCTCCTGCTGACATTCAAGTGCATTAACGGCCTTGTGCCATCATACCTCTGTAGATGAACAGATGCTGAGATATATTCATCAATTAAAACGGATTC